GCCTCTAGCGGAGCAACAGCAATTTCGACCGTATCTACAATATCTTCAATATCCGTGGACTCAATTATTTCAGCGATTTGGCGATTTGAATCCTCGATGGCCTTCTCAAATCTGTTGTCAGATGTAGACGTGTTTTGAATTCCTAACAGAGTGGTTTGTTCATCGTCAACGCAATTTGAAGATTTTGGTGGTTTTTCTATATTAGCTACAATAACTTTATGATGGAGGATCGTTCGATATTGATAAGCAGAAGATTTCGGGTTGTACGAACCACCGTACATTTTAATGATTGAGAACAGATTTTCAAGAGTATCCGAATTCAGATGAGAAGTTAATAAAAATCGGTAATTATCTAATTTGAGATCCTCCCATAATTGCAAAATGGGACTCAACGTCAACTCCAAACCCACGAAACAAGGGGGTCGTGAAAGCCGGTTCGGAGTTACAGTGCGCCATGACTTACACTTCTCGAGCATTTTACGAATATTCTCTAAGGGCCCACTACGTAAATTCGATATTGCGCATTTATTAGGATTGGAATCATTCGCTTGAACACTATTTAAATTGTCAAATAGATCATTGAGCTTGGAGATAAATGTTGCGGTATTGTTAACCGTTTCCGATTTTATTTGGCCAATACAAAATCGATCATGACACTCCATAACGGTGCTCCGATCTAATTTTTATTGCTAACGATAATAATTTATCTGCCACTCTTTTCTCACACCTTTCTGAATAAGAAAACTTCGCTCTTAAATTCTTTAAGCAGTTTAAATGCAAAACTGAGGAGCCATCGAAATTGACCATCAGTACAGCAAAAGCTACCTGCCTATCATAAAACACCCGCACTTGACTATTTTTGGGACTGCCCGAGTTTTCTTTGCAATGGAACTATTTACTCCGTGTATAGATCGATCTTTCAATCAAAAGGGTTTTCCCCAGTCATACAATAATTTGCTCATAATATTTTTTTCCCTCACTATTGCTCGACATTCTCATTCAAGTTCCCGGCTCCGGTTTGTAGGGGAGTGCACCCTGGGGAGTCATGATCATTACCTGTTGTTCACTCGGCCATAGGGTTTGAAAAGAGTTCTATTGTATGCAGGGAAAACAATGATCAATACCTGTGGAAGGTTGTGAATAATACGAGTGCCATTTGCTTTTGATCGCAGGGAAATACGTGAAGATCCTGCGTTATTTTGGCATGAACAGGATGATTGAGCGCCACGACCAAGAAGGAGAAGGGGGAATTTGGGTTCGAAGAAGAAGAAATAAAAGAATTCATTCAAGAAGTACGCTAATACTTTGACCCCCTGTGCTGAGGTTATTGCTCAGTCCAAAATGTAGAAAAAAAAATCTCTCTTTCCACATCAGTCTATACTTCTGTTGAAGCGCACCGGTAATACATTGAGCTAGTAGTACCTGTATTTCCCTCGATCAGGAGATTCCCTTACAAGTATCGTATAGCGAGACAATGAAAACAATGAATGGTTATTACCTATTCAAAGATGGGAAATATATTGTCTTGTACCCGACGTAGTTTCCTCTTATAATAGCGGGGGATAACGTCGAAATAATCGCAATAGGGAACATACTTTGCTTAAAATTTTAAAGATAGCAAAAAAACCGGACCAATGAGAGCGTAATATAGTGACAAAATATAAATAATGACGGTTATTTATTACCAACTCAAATAGTCCAGTCGGCGGTCGAAAAAAAACGAGCTCGTCATCGACTTTTCGCCCAAATTCACCGATTTCCATCATTTTTTTTCAAACTGCTCGGAATCAAATTTCAAAACATATCATATAAAGCCAAACTGGGGTTTTGATTTTTATTTTTTTTCAGTCACTTTAGGAGCGCATATCTCGGAAACTATTGAGAAGTTATCGAGACATGTTGGCAAATGGTTTTTGATTTATTTCGCTAAGTGAAATAGTTATCGAGATATCAATGTTTGTTTATCGGAGCGCGCTGAGAACTCAGTGCTTCTCTGTCTCACGCAGGAGTTTGCATAGTTGCATCCCTGTCGCTCTCATGGCCAGCGCGTCCTCTCTCTATGCTCTTGAACAGAGGAACAGAGAGGCCAACGGACAAGCTCCTGTGTGAGACAAAGGCGCACTGAGTTCTCAGCGCGATCCGATAAACTAATATTGATATCTCGATAAATATTCCATTTAGCGAAATGAATCAAAAACCTTTTGATTCGTTGGGAAATTCTGCGCATTTTTCCTACAGCATGTCTCGATAACTTCTCAATAGTTTCCGAGATATGTGCTTCTAAAGTGACTGAAAAAAAAAATGCAAATCAAAAGCCCAGTTTGGGTTCATATCACATATTTTGAGAACTTGATTCCGAGCAGTTTGAAAGAAAAAATGATCGAAATCGGTGAATTTGGGAGAAAAATCGATGACGAGCTCGTTGTTTTTTGCCCGCCGACTGGACTAAAAGTAAAAAGTGATTCCACTAGGCTGTCAGTGTGCGAGAGAGTCAGTGCGCGTCGCCTCTGCCAGGTTTCGCTAGGAGAGTAAGTGAGAGACTTGGTGACTTCACTGTATTATTTCGGGTTCAGCGTTGCCGGATTCACTCTAGACTGCCCAGATGCGTTTAGCTAGTTTCTGGCAACATCGCATGATGGACAATTTCATTTAGAGGGCAACAGAAGGCCACTGTTTTCTCGAAATGTTCAACCAAATTTCTTGCTCAAAGTTCTTGATATTTTCCGAAATCAAAACACATTGATCCTCGGCGTTACCTCCTGGAGATTAATGTGCTTCAATTTTGATAGTTATTGATAACTTTCGACAGGAAATTTGTTCAAAAATTTTAAAAATCGGGAGTCTCCTGTTGCTCATTAACATTTGGAAAAAAAATCCTATGTTAGAATTCATTTCATTTCTTTAATGTCGGGAATTGTGTTGTTCTGGAACTACTATAATTTTTTCGATCCTTCAATTTTACTTTCTCATCCTTACATTGGAGGTCTCAAGTCGACCTCGCAAGGGGAGGACGCCCCGTAGAGTCACTACCTGAATTCAGACAGTCATGAGATTTTTCTTTTACTCTCTACGTGGGTGACTTCGTCACTTATTGGTCCGGTTTTGCAAATCAAAATGTTAATTTTATCAATGCTTCTCGGGTTCTACCGACATTAAAAAGAACTAAAGGGATTTTTATCAACTTTGTAAAAACTTCATTACGTACAAAAAGTCATTTTTTCCGTTTTCTGAATTTTCAAATAATTTTTTTTTTGTTTCAGAAGGGATGAAAAATTATCTTTTTGGTCTTCAGTGGATATAATTTAGACGATTGTCTTTACGTATTTCCCCACGATCAAAGAAAATGAAATTCATCGTATTGAAAATAGGACAATCTTCCACAGAAATTGATCATTGTTTTCCGTGTATATAATCGAATTCTTTTCGACTCCGAATGAACAACAGGTTATTTTGAAAAAATTTGACCTAGTATATCAAGGAAACACATATGAAAAAATTTAATCAAAAACCCTTTTCTCTAAGAAATTCTATTGAAATTCTATTGAAACTCTCTAAGAATTCTATTGGAGTTCTATCGGAATTTTATCGGGAAATTCTATCGGTTTTTGCGTTAATTATATTAAAATTATGCATTTTTTTCGGGAGTCTATTATTTATTCGTAGAAAAATGTCTATGAATCTTGATTTTTCTCTATGATTTATTCAATTCGTTTTTTTTCTATATAACAATTCTTGGGCGAAACTTTCTCCAAAAATTTTTCCATTGTATTTTTATTTGTTTTTCAAATGAAATCCAAGAAGTAAAAATGGAAAATTCACCACCAAGATTTCTTTTATAATAAATCCCAATAGAATAAGTCACGTAGAAAAATCAACATCTATAGACATTTTTCTATGAATAAATTTTCGCTTAAAAATGCTCCAACAAGTTGCATAATTTTTCCTAGAATCGGCGCGAAAAACAAATAGAATTGTAATGGAACACCAATAGAATTTCTTAGAAAAAGCACCAGGTTTTTGTATTAGATCTTGTCATACAGGATTTCGTGAAAAAAAATGAAAATCTATGCNCATGTGTAACATCACCCACGGGAGACAGCCCAGAGGGGTGGTGTGTTTTGAGATATGGTTGAACTGAGGAGATTGTGGTCCTCAAATTTACCCCTACGTTTCCCAATCCCCACTACAATCGTTGTCTCCCACCTCTGACACTCAGGGCTACAATCTCCTCAGTCCGACAGTAGTTCTCGCTGGTTCTTGCTCGAATAGTTACGGTGTCTCAGTTGTAACACACGCCAGTTACGCGTAGAAAAATGGCAAACTCCAGCTTTCCGTTCATGGAATCTATAGCTCCGAAAGTGGAGAGTAACGGAGAGTCGACTGTAATTGGAAGGGCTGTAAACTTTATGGAGTTCCTAATGCAAGGTTATGAAGTTACTCCGAGTTACCTGGACATTGCCCATCCTTGGTGTAACATCGTGGGCCTCATCAGCAATTGCAGTCATCAATCTACTTATAATTGCTTTACAATGCAATCCATTTGGCATGTATTCGTTTCTGTGTCATCGGAGCATCTCCTCTGAAGTTAGAGTTACTCTTATTTTTGTTATTCATTCCTTTCGTTTTATTGTATTCCTACATTTAATGTTCTATTGTCCCATTTTATTTTAATAAACGCTTTTTTATTAATACCCACGCGTTTCAATACCAATATCAAGGAATCTTTTTACAAGCATTATTTTACATCGCTTCGACCCGGTTAGGGAATACTGCCATGATGATCAAGACTTTAAATGATTAGATCGCACCATTCTACCCAGCCGGGATTTGGACTCGGAACCTTTTGCATGTGAGGAAATAGCATTATACACTGGAGATGATGGTACTAGGTGAGTATCCGGAAAGGGGAGATTCATGGCTTGCACAAATCTAAGAGCAAAAGGTGGAAGGCTGAAGGGAATTGGCGAGCATTCGTAGGAGAATTATTTGTTGGAGTAAATATAGCTTTTATTATAATTTCCATGAGCTAGTACACTCGTATTCCTGAGCGATTAGCGTTTAAATATCCAGAATATTGAGGAAGGCCACCATCTTCAACAGGATCTTACGCAGGGACCACCCGACCATTGTTCTATGAAACCGCGATTGCAGTAACACCTATCCGCGCAGCGCTGAAATAAATATTATATTTTCGGTGAAAATAGTTCTAAGATGGCATAATCTTACAAAGAAGTCATATATACCAGAAGACATGTTTAAAAATATGGAATTGAAATTTTGTTTGCAAATATTTGCCAGAAATATCTCTCACAACCAGGGTTACCCGAGTGGAAATTCCGGTCAGGTCTTGATCGAGTTTGGATCAGGTTAGACCTGGCCACTGATCAGATATTGATCAAATTGACGCACCCGGTCTTGATCAGACATGTTACGCCCCTGACCAATCCTGATTTGATCAGGACGAATGGATCCGAACTTGATCAAGTCAACTGTATGAAAACCGGATGACCTATCAGCATCAATAACAATTATCAATGATAATTAATCCAAAACAAAAGATAATTCAATTCTTTCACCGTAGACCCTTAATGAATCTCCACTGTTATTACCTCTGAAAAAGCTTATTAGTGTTTTATCGATGCTGAGGATCGAACCGGGGACCCTATGATTACTAATTCTATGCCCTAACCACTACGCTATCGCGCTATTACTATTGAGTAAACTGTACATTGCCTATATGATTTGTATCGGGGTATTCGTTGAATTTACGATTATTCCTGATTTCGCGGATGTACGTGTGTATTTTCAGAGATAAAACATGTTCAATTAAATTTTTATTTATTTCATTAATGAATAATAATAATGATAATGATCATAACACTACTAAATAAATGGACATTTGGTGATTTTTTTCTCAAGATCATTTACGTGTAAGTTTGATACTCCTCTAATACGTATTTACGACATCATCATCCCTCCCTTCCGTACATTTGAGAAGGGCTAGCTGACCGGATCAGAATCTGATCATTTTCTCTTCAATTGACCCCGTTCAAATGCCGATCAAAGACATCAAATCCGAATTTGCTTAAATTGGGGTCAGGCAGCCGACCTCAGGGTAAGATCGTGCCTACCTGATCAGAACTTGATCTGAAACATCCTGCAGTTTTTCGGATCCGATCTACTAGATCAAAACTTGGTCAGGTTCTCATCAGGCATCATCTGATCATGTCTACCTGATCAGAACTTGATCTGAATGCGCTTGTAGTTTTTCGGATCCGATCTGCTGGATCAGAACTTGGTCAGGTTCTCATCAGGCATCATCTGATCAGTCAAACCTTACAAAAACCTGATCAAGTTCTGATCGCGCTTCAAGTGGGCCTGAAGCAATTTCCACTCGGGTAGGTCGTTCACTCAAAATCAGGGTTTTCTACGGTAAGAAGTAGAATATTGGTAATTTTCCTCTAAATGGTAAAAAAACTAAATGAGTGAATAAACACCCCTAACGAAGCTATCAGTACTCATGAGGAGCATACCCTGCGAGGGTCAAATGTGGCACGAGTTATATTTCAAGCAACAGAGGCAGGCAAGATGATCTCAAGGATCAAATGACCTCAGGGGTCAAGCGGGAGAGCCAAGCAGGACACGCACGAGGTTTCGACGTCTATAAGGGTCAACCACGAGAAGCAAGCAGGACATCCACAAGGGTTGCACGATTATAAACCGCACGAACTAATCAGAAAGCTCTCCCAGTTGACCCTTATTCTGATTGCCTCTCTCCGTTGATCCTCGAAATTATCCTGCCTGTCTCTGTCGTTTGACCCTTGTGACCTTTTGACCCTCGCAAGATATGAGTCTAGTGGTGACGTTTAAACCTCGCGAAATCTGAGTCTGGAAACTTTCGACTCTCGCAAGGTATGACCCTTACGATGTTTGACCCTCACGAGGCATGGCCCTTGAGAGGTGTGATCCTTGTGACGATTGACCGTGGCGAGCTTAAACGAAAGAATATTCTGATCATTTCGCTCGATTGATGATCATTCGATCCTTCGACGTTCAACATGACTCCTCCCGCGAACAGAAAAGTCTGAAACCTACTCTACGGTAAATTACTAGTTTTTTTATCTGTCGAATACTAGATAGATTACCAGTGATATTTTACTCGCCCAACCCTGCTCACAACTGTTTTGTGAAGCAGAGAAAAAAATTTCAAGTTCTCAGTCAAAATCTCTGGATTTGAGTGAAATTTTTACTTATTCTAAAAGAATTCCCTGTAAAAATCAGTGAACCGCAAGTTTCTAAAATTCATTAATTTGGTTCTGGAAACTAGAAACTTTTTTCCTCTGTGAAATATCATAAAATTTAACATTAATTGTTGACTCATGACCCAACTATAGTACAAAATTCGTTTATGACTGATGATTGCTAATAACATTAATAATTCTCACTAATCTGTTGCAGCTGGGATTACGGTTCTGACAGGTTGCCGGACAGGGATCACCGCATCCCCAAGTTGCGTTTGGTTGGCAACTTCCACGTTGAGCATCTGTCAAAATCATTGAAGTATTATAATTTGCCTGATTATAGAGACTATCATTCAATGGCAGTTTAAATTCTTGGAATTTGATTCTTCATAAATTGTAATTATGGTGAGAAATAATAATGATGCCAACTGAGCAATTTTTCTTTCTTATGACATGTTGCAGTTATTTTTACTTAATAAATTAACAATTTGCTTTCGAATGGGTTCTCCTTTTTTTCATTCTTATTTTACTATTTCCTTCTTCTATTCCATCATGTCATAGTAATATCATCAATTGAAATGTCATTAAAATTTTACGTATTACTTCGCTCTGTCAAATAATTCTGCATTCAGACTCTCGCAAGACTCGAATTTATTTTCAGACTGGGTTTATTCAAGGTTCAATCAAGGTTGAATTAATGTATAGCCTGGATTTAATCAGGGTATATTAAATTAGGACCAAACGATTAGGCTTATTAAACTCTACCCCATAGAAACTCATTATCCCATGGAAAAAAAGTATAAAATTTGATCGATTGGTTATCGAAATAAAAGTAAAAAAAATGGGTCACACCTATGCATACGAACATGGTGTAGAAATATTCTGATTTCTGAGTCCGAAATTATTTATCCCAATCTAAAAAACCGGAAATTTGGATTTCAAAGATTTCAATGCTTTCATTCAGACGCAAAGAATGAATATATCATGGAATACTTACGCGCAGTGCATGCAAGCACAAGGAAAATAGCAAAAATGAAAATAGCACGCATCTTTGAAGATTTCCAAATGACGAAATCAGACTGATACGGCGAGTCTCAGACTTTCCTCTTTTATACGACTTTATGACGAAGAATTGATATAATAAATCCATATTCATATACAATAAATTCATATGATAAGGAGCAGTATCTGAGAAATTTATTGAAAGAGTTTATATAATAAATTGAATGAACAACTGCAGACAGAAAAATATTGCTCCAACCAATACCAATACCGTTGTAGCACCAGTTTCCGCCCGAGACCCACTCTCTGCCACACTTCACCCCTTTACCGAAGTACCCATGTCATTCGTTTTTTAATCTCGCGAAGATTAATTTCTGCGTAATCAACAGTTTTCTTTTCTCAAGCGATAAAAAATCATGCATTTACATCCAGACGTATGGAACATTAACCCGCAAAAAGTATCAGCTCCACCACATGCAATGTTTCGAGTGATTTAATTTTCGTCCGACCATTAAGATCTGACACTTTGTATTTTCCCGATATTTCTAATATGTGAGTACTGAATGGATCAAAGAAATATATTTTTACTTATAGAAAATTGACTTTATAATGAAACCCCTAAACTGAGCTAAAAGAGAATTATTTGACGTAGAATACGGGGGACAGTAACTGATGGTCCCACTGTATCTGGTGATGAATCAGTTTTTGCCACCGGAGTTCCTGTCATTCATATAACCGAACTATTATAGGGTTACACCCTGTTACTTCGCAAACATAAAAGTACATCATCTGATTTGAAGACGAAATACTATTCCTTTCTCGCTAATTTCCATAAAAAATACGGGGATCGCGGGGCTATTCACAGGCAAATTGGGTGACACCGCGATTACAAAATGTAATCGATTACCCAGGATTACGGGACTGATTACACTGATTACCATTGCCTATGTGATAACTGTTATTACCAAGAACACAGAATGTGATTACATGATTACAAATGATTTCGTCGATTACATTTTGTGATTACCAAACATCTGTAATCATTGAAATCACTGAAAATGACCCCTTATTAAATATGAATTGATGGAATAATTAATTATTGGAACCTGCAAAGAAATGAGGAAGAAGGGGCGGGAATTAGAACAGAGAAATTCAGTCTCCATCACTCCATCTAAAAATGTGGGCATTCATAAGTGCTATCGGGAAAATAAATTTACTGAATATCTACCATTGATGGAGAATAAAACTTACCAGCAGATAATTCAGAGATAATTCAGTCGTTGGTTCTCCAGAATAAGAAGAAATTTTAACCCTGTTGAATCAATTTTCTACGGACAAATGCTCTGTGCAAAACGTATTGGCTATGCAAGGTTCTGAACCACAAACATCTGGGATTCTAAGAAAAATTGATCAAGGGATCTCTGAGACTTAGCGTTACCCTGGCGGACCCATTGATTGTAATTCGATTAACTTTCGATTGTGAGAATCAAGTGATTCGGTTAATCGATTGGCATTTGATCAAGCATCGAGTATGATGTAAACTATAACCGAAACACAATCGAGTGGTTAGAAAGTCGATTAAGACTTGATCGAGGCTGGAAATATCCTAGAATCAAGTTTTAATCGACTTACGAATTAGTCGATTGCAAACCGATTATGAGTGGAGCTTTCTTAAACAATTGAGAATCGAGTGGTTTGGAAGTCGATTGAGACTCGATCGAGGCTAGACATATGTCAGAATCGAGTTTCAATTAACTTACGAATTATTCGATTGTAAACCGATTGTGAGTGGAGCTTTCTTAAACAATTGAAAATCGAGTGGTTTGGAAGTCGATTAATACTCGATCGAGACTAGACATATTTCAGAATCGAGTTTCAATCAACTCATGAATAACTCGACTGTAAACCGATGGTAAGAGAAGCTTTCTCAATCAATTGAGAATCGAATGGTTTGGAAGTCGATTGACTCGATCGAGGCTAGATATATTTTAGAATCGAGTTTCAATCACCTTAGGAATTAGTCGATTGTAAACCGATTGTGAGTGGAGCTTTCTTAAACAATTGAGAATCGAGTGGTTTGGAAATCGATTGAGACTCGATCGAGACTAGACATATGTCAGAATCGAGTGTCAATCAACTTGGGAATTAGACGACTGTTAACAGATTGTAAGAGAAGCTTTCTCAATCAATTGAGAATCGAGTGATTTGCAAGTCGATTGAGACTCGATCGAGGCTAGACATTTTTTAGAATCGAGTTTCAATCAACTTAGGAATTAGTCGATTGCCAACCGATTGTCAGAGAAGTTTTCTCAATCAATTCAGAATCGAGTGGTGTGAAAGTCGATTGAGACTCGATCGAGGCTAGACATATTCTAGAATCGAGTTCTGATCGACTTACGAGTTGATCGATTGTAAATTGATTAAATTGTCCGACAGTCGACTGTGAGTCGATTTAAGCGAAATGTTTTTTTAATCAGATTTCAATTAAATTATAAGTCTATTAACTATCCAATATATTAACCTCAAAGTCTGTCTGTTCATATGTCAAATCAATCGATGTTTTAATCAGTTGTGCAATTACACTGACAGCGCTCATAATTAAAATGGATACAAAAAAAGGATCAGGTGAGTAAATTTTCCAATATACATTATCTATGTTAAATTTATAAGTCGACTCTTGCTCTCTCAAAAATACATAATTAATATTTTGTCAAGTGTCAAGTGAATTATAAAACTGACGTCCTGGTCACTCTAAAAGCTTAAGCAGGTCGCAAATTTCCTCAGCAATGGAATGGAATCAAAATCAAAAGGCTCACACAAATATTCTCCGAGATATGTTAGTTCATAGTCAACGCCCCCGTTTTTTCGGTCTAATGTGCCCGTTTTGCAGACTTAATCTACAACTTTTCAACGGCCTGTTAAGTGAATTATAAAATTGACTTCCTGGTCATTCTAAAAGCCTAAGCCAGCCCCAAATTTCCTCAAGAATCGAATGGAATCAAAATAAGATCTTTCACGCAAATATTCTCCGGATATGTTAGCTCTAAGTCAACGTCTCCATTTTTCAGCCTAACGTCTCCATTTTGTAGAGTTCATCTGCAACTTTTCAACGGCCTGTCAAGTGAATCATAAAATTGACTTTTCAGTCTCTACTATATTAAAGGAGAACTAGGAAATATTGGATCGTATTAATGAAGTGTGATTATCGATTCATGGAAAAACACTACGATGATGCGATTATCTGATGCTTTTTTCTCTGTCATTGAGTTGAGGTTGGGTCTATCCCACTGACAAATTACTTGACGGCCACGCGAACCACACTTCAAAAGTACTAGTCCTTCTTATTAAAGGAGTTCCCCATTTATCGAATTGCGATATATCGATTTTTTATTTGTCGAGAAATGACAAAAGATCGATTGTCATAATCGAGTTGCATATCAATCGATCGATAAAAAAGAAAATTGACGATTGATGAGGTTATAAATTGTAACAAAGCAGATGATAATAACATTACCAATAATATTTGTAACTGCTAATTTATATTCAGTAAAAAAAAGGGTTCAACTGGTGCCTTTTGAAATTACACGTGCACAGTGCGACGTACTTCTCAAAAACTGGAGAAAGCCGGCATCCGTGGATCCGTCAAACATTGAAACAATTCTTCATTGTGTATTTTTTTATGAATACACGGAGAGAATTAAATAGTAAATATTACCATGGCCATGGTAGAGATTACTATGGCAACATAGTAAAAGGATTTTCAACTGACCCTACATAGTAATCCTTACTATGTCCCACGGTAATGCTTACCATATCACATGGTAATGCTTACCATGGTCACAAGGTAATACTGACCATGTCACATGGTAATCGTTACTATGTCACATGATAATGGTTACTGTGTTACATGGTAATGGTTACTATGTCACATGGTAATGCTTACTATGTCACATAGTAATGCTTACTATGTCACATGGTAATGCTTATTATGGCACATGGTAATGCTTACTATGTCCCATGGTAATGATTACTATGCGAATGGAAAATAGTCCTATGAGCATAAAAAGTATTCCTAAAATACACAGTTGACATTTTCCATTGTCTCTTGATGCGTAAACGCATGACGCTTAAGGCTGTGTGCTCAGTAGTCGATGAACAGTGCACAGAAGCGGTCATGGACAATATGACAGAAGACTCAAGCGCTCTTGGAACTACGGTAAGTATATTTGTTTGGTTTCATTGAATATATATAATAATGACGTAGAAAGAGAATTGAAAGTTGTGAAAAATTATCAGATTC